TTTTTCGGCGGTGGATTTTGCTATGTAATATTCCGACGTTTTCTTGATGTGCTTGTTGGAGAGCTTGTGATTTATGATCCAAAATTGTTGCCCTGATTTGAGGACATGGCTGGAAAGTGTTGGACGATGTTCTTCAAGCACTACAAAACACTACAAAGCGCCTCCCTTGGCTTTCTGAGCCGCGTTCAGTCGTTTAACCATAAACCTCAGCAAAAGCTGTGCTTCGCATGGCTTTATTCAGACTATAAAGCCTGTTCTGTTCAACAGCGACTATGGGGCAAGCAAAAGCCTCATAAAACCAAAGCCGTGAACATACCCTGGGCTCTGAAAAATGATGTACCTATTGGATCCTATTGGAACTTCCCACTTTTAGGCTTCCATAATCAATTTTCGTTGGGACAAACTAAGACATAGATGCTATGCTCGACGGTTCCACGACACAAAAGTGGTTGAATCTTCATACGAAGTACATCATTTGTCTGGAAAATAGGGGATCCCCAAATCCCAGAGTTGATCATCGTGTTGCCTATTATATTGGTCATTTGGGGTACGGTATAGCCCCTTTTCAAACAAACCCATATCTTGCATAGGATATGTATATATATATATATAAAACCTACTATAATTCGGTGTGTCATTGCATTGCTGACACTTGAAGTCAACAGTTTGATCCCACACCTTGACAAGTGAATGCATTGGTATACCATTGGTCATCTCCCACCTCCGGTGCCTCAGATTGTTCCCTGGGAACTCCCAACTGCTCACTGTCAAATAATCGTTGAGTGCAATTCCAAATGCACTGCTGATCCTGTGGTTCCCATTGCTCAAATACGTGATATGAAGAACGATTGCGCTGCAATTTCTGGTCCAACAACCGCATTTTCCATCACGCCTAGACTCCTTGTAGCCTGCCAACCAATTCGAGGATCCACAATCGAATGATTTTTGAGTCATGTGTGTGTATATATATATATATGTATATATATATATATATATATATGTGTGTATATATATATATATATATATTGAGACGTATATTCATTCCAAACTGTTGTGCAAGTTCATTGGACCTGTTGGCATCATATCTGCAGCTAAAGGGGTCCTTGTAAGCCAGCGAGTCTTCTGGAGTGTCGACACACCTGGCGTATCGTGCACCGTGCAACGTGCAACTCACCATGGCATTTGTCAAACTTCGCCATGTTGAGAATATCGAAATTCACCTCCTGATTTCTGACTTGTTTCAAAGGCAAGGTACAAACAAATGTTAACTCATGACGAAATATCATCAATCATGGTATCCAGCAAAAACTTCTCTACGGAACGAAAAAAAAATCCTCCATCACAAAGGAACAAATCAGTGACTCAGCCACATATAGTACTGCAACACTCAATAAGAGAGAAAAGTCCATTCCCACTAGAAAAGGATAAATAACTGTTCTATATTTTTTGGGTTGCTATAATCAAGGTTACCAAGCCACACTGCAAAGCAACAGCTGGAGCGACAGTGGCCTTCAAGTCCCCAAAGATTGGATCTACAAACATTTCATATTCATATGTAACATGCATAAATATATGTGCATATATATATATGTTTTACTTTATTTCCCACATATCATTATGCATGTTTAAAGAGGCAAACTTCTCAGAGCTGATCAGAGACCACCGAGCTACACACTGCGTTCAATTCATCATATGTACGTGTATATATATATATATGTATTATTATATCATATCATATTATATTACATTACATTATATATCATTATATTACATTACATTACATTATATCAAGTTCACTATCATATAATCTACTGTATTATACAATATATTACTTTATATTATGTTGAATTATGTTTTAAAAAATGTGTTTATTGTCTGTTGCATTTTAGATTATATGATCATTACATGTTATATTATACTAGACATTCTATTAGATATTAATATTATATTATTACATTACAGTAAGTCTGTTTTTATATATTATATTATATACTATATTATATATCAATCATACCAAATCATATCATATCATATCATATCATATATCATATATCATATCATATCATATCATATCATATATCAGATATGTATGTATATATATGTATATAATTAATAATATATACTATGAGGAACGTGTATATATATATATATGTATTATTAGTCGTTCCCCCACGGACTTCGCGGCCTTTCAAAACAATGCCCCAAGATCTTCATGGTGGCTTTCTGACCCTGCCAATTGCCCCAGCTGTGTGGCAGTGAGAACTATGATAGATGGGTGCCATCTTCAACTGCAGAGATTTATTCATCTTGGATTAATGTCACACAGAAAAGACCCGGATGGCATGGCATTCTGACTTGGAGCCTTCTTCTTTGAAGGTTGTTGAAGAGACATTTTTCAAGTCTCATTGACAGCTGACATGATCGAGGGTCCAAGAACTGGGTGACCAACTCCCAAGAAACTTGAGACATGTGCCTTAGATCTGCGTCAATCTTCGAGGCCGAGAGGATCACAGCTTTTGGGATGACTCCGATGACCCCCAAATTTTGCAGAGGCGATGCCTTCTCCCAACATGACCCAACTCTGCCTGAATCACTTGCTGCATCTGAAGCAAACCAGCGGCACGCTCCATCTGGGGATTCAATCAGCGGTGAACCACGACCAATCGACCCACGAATGGCTGCTTCAATGGCTGCTGATTCAAGGTCTTCAAGCATCTAATTCGGGAATAGAAAAAATGTGGAGTCAAGATGAGTATAACCCAAATGAATCGAATTTCAATGGTGTATTAATGCCCATGTGAATCAGCACCGGTCTGACAAATCGATGCTGAGGTGATGACATCTGCCTGTGTCGCCCCCGACTGTCCGAGGTCCATGACCTTGTCAGTCCAGCTACAAATATGTGTATATGTACGTAATGTATATATATGTATATGTGTATTCTACGCGTGTAGCTATACATATATATATATTATTGTGTGTGTATGTATAATACATATATATACATCTTCGCATGAGGTAGGTGGGACCGGTAGCTTACATCCGCACTTTCCCTGTCCTTATTGGTCAACGCCCCATGAATTTGATGGTCAACAACTAACAACTGCCCAGAATTTCCGAATGACTACTGCTGAGTTCCTGGTACATGATCACAACGTTGGTAGGTGAAATCTCCATGTCAGGAATATGAATGATTCCAAGAACATGCTAATATGATTGAATACTGTTGAATGTGTATATGAATATGTATCTCTCCAAATTGAAAAAGGTGCCGGAACTCACATGCTTTCCCATAATCCTTATGTATATGATATATGTAATTATATGTATGCTTGAATGTCTGTCTCTGTTGGCGATTCTTGGCGTCCCTCTCTGAGTGCAGAGCCTGAAGTGGGCTTTGTAGATCACCGCCGCAGCGACTGCTGATGGCCCAAGATTCGTCTTGAGCCCAACATCGCAAATACATGGGGGACTTGCACCAAAACACAATTGGGAAATCATTGGGAAAGATGTACGCAGATCATGGCTTCACATTATAAAAATGTGTCTCGACATGTGTTTGTCCCGAAAATGTAGGTCATCTACCAATTATCAGTAATGACATCGCCAGTGCTGCTGTTCGTAACCTTCAGACACACCCAGGGATGGTTGTCTCCAAAAATGCAACTTATATGGCTTCAATATGTACCTTCTGGCAATTTAACATAGCTATGGTTTATCAACAAGTTTATAGGTATAATAGAAGTAATTAAATCAAATAACTAGATGGGCAACCTATCCTATGGCCTTTGATGTTGTACCCAAAAGCTGATTTCATCTGCTATGAAACTTGCGAAGCAGGGGTGAACTCTAATCGCGCTTATCATTACCCCCACACATTCTTCTTGAAATTCCAGCCAGCGAACCTAGCAAAGAAAATCATCCATGTCCATATCTATACGTAGGTAATTTTCACTGCACCACTGCAAGAATAAAATTTCTTTAAACCAGCATGAATGCAAGCACAAATCTTTGGACTGCTGCGAGGGATCCTTTTTGGCTAGGCACAGGCACGGACCATCGTGCTATGACAAGCGAAAGAACAAGGAATGCACAAATGTCAAGATATGGCATTCTGCTTTGCAGAACCAGCTTCACCTAATAGCTACGGCTACGGAATTCTGGCGGATTGTGCTGGCAAGAGCCATCATCAATCTGTACAATTGAAGTTCCGGTCAGCTCAGATCCTCCACAAGCAATGGAATATTATGGTCCTGGCTGCATGGCAAAACCATGCAAAAACACTGCTTAGGCGCAACTGTTCCAATACTATTTGAAGTCGAGAAGGCAAAACAGTTCTGACATATTCTGGAGAACAAGTTTCGGCGCCCAGAAAATATCGCGGGCTCTCGAGGTTCAAGTAGTCGAGTAATCTCCAGCACAGCGTGTGTGGGTAGTGGATTGTTCTGCAACCTTGATCCGTGCCAAAAACCCAGGTGCCAGACGCAAACAGAGTATGGAGGAAGCTCTTCGCCAAAGGTGTTTTGCGAAGATCTGTGTGCTGGTTGGTCTGTTATCTTAGAATCTTTGCAGGCTGACAAATCCATGTACAAAAACATAAAGCAGTCACAGTGTACGCGGATCAATACAAACTCGAACTAAGGCAACACATGCAGGATCTTCTCAGCTTGACTCCACAGCCCCGCAAGTCTGGCACTGCATGATCCGATGGTTTTACTACACAAAAACATCCATGATTCAAAATGCTGGAACCATAGCCAATGGCCAGTGGATATCCCAATTCCAATTGCCATGATTATTCCAACCTCTTACACGCATCATGCATCAAAAAACATGTAAGACACCAGTTGTATATATATATATATTATATTATAAATATATATATATTATATAATGTCAACCCAGCCCATTTTGGGCAAATCATCCTGTTTTGCGGTCCCAAATGACCTACTGTAACCCCATACCCAGTTCTATCACGTTGTATCCAGTTCAGAAAAGAGTCTCGATTCTCCACTGACGATGATGTCGTGGATTCTTTCGCAAGGCTTGTGCTAAACCTTGGATTTGCTCCGGGGGCCATCAGCGACAAAGACAAACCTACTGGATGACTCCTGTGAATTAATGGGAAAATATGATATGGAAAAATAATAGAATTTAATCCTAAAATAAAATTTAATCCTAACTGATCTTCAGCAAATTCAGGAAACGTCTTGTGCTTTTCTCTTCACAGTTGATGCTGGCCAATGACAAGCGGAATGGAGCCTGGCTGCGAGCATCTGCCGAGATTTGACATTGGAAAGGGAACGGCTACATTTCCCACAGGACACGCCGAATCCAAACCTCTGTGATATCTTTGGCTGGTCCCGGAGTCCCGTCTGCATCTTTTCAGGAGTGAATCAAAACAAATCCACTCAACGGACGGCTTTGCCCAGGCCATTTCCTGGGGATTATCAACACATATCAAAACCAATTGGTCCATAGACAGATTGGTCGATCCCATATGGAGAGACGAGATCTTGGACGTTTCGGCCATTTTTTCCAAGCGACCCGGATGACCTGTTCCACCTAAGAATCCTGTTCCCCAGGTTTTCTTCCCTAGGGTCAACCTCAGATGAATAAACTTCAACTATTCATTGGGGTACCCGAAATAATGGTAAATCACATAAATCAGGATTGAAAATTGGTAACCCTCCATTTGACAAGGTTTAGCACAATCCTGAATCATATCTCAAAAATATTGGTTTATTGACGATGATATACTATAAGGTCTCATTATAGAGGGGGATTATCTCACTTATACTCCCCATAATAATCAGGGTTACCATGGGTTACCATGGGTTACCATTAACAAAATGACCTCCGACTCATCCAGTCCTGCTGCCAAAACGGCAGCTCATCCGCAATCAGATCGACCCCTTCGTTGCCGATGTGTCCATTGCCCGAGAGATCCACGAAGCGAAGGGTGGAGATCCAGGCCCAACCTGCACAGCTGAAATGTTGCCTTCAGATACGGTTGGAAGATGCTGGGGATCTAGATATACATACACTGTATTGTGAAATGTACGCATCTCATCTCCAAACATATGTCGATGTGAACCTATCGGCACGAGCCCCCTTTGCCATGCTTAGAAGAAAACAGAGTTATGCGAGCGATGTGCCATCAGACTGACTAGCTCTTCGCTGGTTTGTCAGGTGGTAGCGGGGCTCCCTGAGGTGTTGGCGATCGACGTTTTTAGCCAGCACCGAAGGGAGTGACGCTTGGTGAATGTCGGGCGCATCAACCAGTGTGGGAAAAGAGGAGGCTGGATCCAAACTGGAAACGTTCACGGGTGAGAATGTAGGAGACTACAGAAGATGGAGAAGGAGAGCAACACTATACCTACAAGCACTGCCTACGACCATTCCTGAAAAGAAGTGGGGAGCAAGGCTGTTAGAGCACTTGTCGGGAGAGGCAGAAGAACTCATGGAATCCCTGGCAATTGACGAGATTGTCAAGGAAGACGGATACAAAAAGGTCTTTAAGATCTTGGATGACAAGTACAAAGAACCCGAGAAAGATGAACTCCAAAGGGTGCTGAAAGAATACCTCTATACTATATGCATCAAGGAGGGTGAAACGTATCGCAACTTCATGATACGCCTAGACACCTCTTACAAGGCCTTGGTGAGAAATGAGGTAGAGCTTCCAGCTGCTGTGCGGGGTTGGCTTCTTCTCAAAAAGTTATCCCTAGATCCTACGTCCGAAGCCATGGTCATGACGTCGTCTCAAGGTTCGGTGATGCATGATGATGTGGTCAGGGCTGTGAGGAATGTGTTTCCTAACGGCAAGTCCACCAAGACCATGAAGACCAAGGACATCTTTGTGGCTGATGAGGATGAAGAGGTGAAGGGGATGGGAAGTGATGAAGAACGTGGAGAAGACATGGAGCCATACGAAGTGATGGAAGCGGTAGCAAGTCAGATTCAAGGTCATGATGACTATGAATCAGAGGATGCCTTGGATGCGTTTGAGGCATATGCCTCCGTGAGGAGGAAAATCCAGGAAAAGAAGACCACGAGAGGGTATAGGACATCGACGCCTGCAGCCTGGCAACTCACAGGTACTGTGAAGGGAAAGATCGAAGCCCTGAAGTCAAAGACAAAATGCCACTTATGCAAGAGAATTGGACACTGGAAAAGAGAATGCCCGTTGAAAAACCGAGGGGCAAAGAGTGAGAAGTCGAGCGCGGCCTCGAGCTCCAATGCCGGTGCCAAGGAAGCCTATGTGGTGGACATCGTGGACGAGGCGGAAAACTTCCACGAGATCTACCAGGCAGAGGTGCGATGTGAAAAGGCTCACAAAAAGAAAGCTCAGGACAGTTGGATCTATGACCTAGAGAATGACATGGTGATCAGAAAGCATGTGAAGCCTCGAAAAGGTCTCTTCACGCCACATGGGGTGGCTGGTTTGACCATAGACGTCGGGGACTTCACAGGGGAAAGAGAGAGCGTCATCAACTATGAGAACGGTGAAGGTGAGTTGGTGAAGGACAATTACCATGTTGGCAAGGTACCACACATGAAGATGAAAGGCTTCTGGACAGGTGAGACACGATTTAGCCTCCAGAAAAAGATGAAGGAAGGCGACAAGGCCAAGCGTCCAGCAACCATTGAAGAGTACGATGTGATGATCGCTACGTACGAACAAGACGTACTGAGTGCAGTTGGCAGCAGTCAGTCTCCGAAGGGGGCGAAGCCAAGTTTTTCCAAGCCTCATTTTGAGGTTCACGAATCCCAAGTGGGATCAGTTTTTGCAGCATTGGACGAACACGCAGTTCCAGACACAGCCTGCCGTAAGACTCTCATTGGTGATTACACGCTGAGGGGTTTGGAGTGTAAGTTGGGATTGAGAGGTTTGAAGGTTGTTCGTAGGCCTGAAAAGAATTATTTCAAGTTTGGAAATGCGGGTACTCTCACTTCACATGAGATTGCACAGATCCCAGTATCGCTGGGCAGTAGGAGAGTCGTCATTCATGCTGCTGTGTTGCCGGGAGATGGATCACATACGCCGTTTCTTTTGTCCAAAGAGATTCTCAAGCAGTTGCATTGTGTCATGAACATGCAGGATGATTTGTGTTGTTTTCAAAAACTTGGACATGAGAAAATTCGCATGAAGAGAACCGAAAGAGGTCACTATGCCATTCCAGTGCTCGAGCCTAGTGAGAGCCCTGGAGGGTGTAGAAAGCAATTTGAGACCCGAAGCAATGCCAAAAAGTCCTCTGGCGAAGGCGTTGATCAACGAGCTCCAAGCAGCGGAGGTGAACCAGGAGGTGACCTACCTTGGGACCCAGATCGACCAAGTGCCAGACATGTCAGAAGACGAAGGAGATTGTCCCATTTCTGGAGAAGAGATGATCCAGGCCGGGAAGTTCAAGGGCAAGAAGACGATGAGCGAAGCATACACAGAAGACAAGACCTACATCAACTGGGTGAGGGCGCACATCAACAAGACTTCAGCGAAGGAGATGATTCGTCTTCGTCTGTATGTGGAGTGTCGCGACGAGAACAAGATGGAGCGCATGCGGGAGATGAAAGAGATGAGAAAGAACTACATGAGCCAGATGCCAAAGACACCAACGCGGGCAGCCAAGACAAAGATGGCAGCAAAGAAGAACCGCACTCGCGAAGGAGATGGATGGGGAGAGCCGGAGAACCAGTTCAGCATGGACACGGAGGAATGGGAACTGGAACACGAGGAGATTCAGGAGACCATGACACCCCACGAGATGAAAGAGGCAGCGGACAACTTCGAGAAGATGGCTCGCATGCTCCGTCGAGAACATGCCCGAAGCTCCAACTAGGTGAGAACAATGAGAGAGGCCATGTACAGACAGAGGAAATAGAAATAGTTGAAAAGGGTTTGGATGAGTTAGTCCGAAGGGTTAAAGACTCTAAGGAGAGACTTGATGTGCTGATTATAAATCCAAACGACGAATCTGTCGATGTGGCGGAAGTTTTCAGTTTACCACGCATGTGCAAGGCTGCGCAACAAGCCGGGCTCAAGTGTGGTGGTTCCTACGACATCCTGAATGGATGGGATCTGCGAGTCGAGGGAAAAAGAAAAGAGCTTCGGGAGCATCTGAGAACTCTGAGACCTCGTCTCCTCATTGTCTGTCCCCCTTGTGGTCCCTTCTCACAACTGCAGGAGCTGAACAAAATGAGGAATCTTAAGGGTTACCTTCAAAAGCTGTCTGAGGGGAAAATGTTGTTGAGGTTTGCCATGAAGTTGTGTAAAGACCAAATGGATAGGGGGGATTTGTTTTTGTTCGAGCACCCTCAAGGAGCCAAGTCATGGAGTGACCCGTCGGTTCAAAAGCTGTTGCATGATTCTAGGGTGTATAAGGAAACGTTGGACCAGTGCATGTATGGGTTGAAAGATCATGTTTCGGGTAAACCCCATAGGAAAAGAACTGGAATCATGGTCAACTGTGAGAGCGTTGCGAAAAGGTTGAGAACCATGTGTGACAGGACTCATGAACACGAACATGTCATGGGGTGTGTGAAAACCAAAATGGGATGGAAAACACGATCTAGGATGGCTCAAGCATATCCCCCCAAACTTGTGCAGGCCATGATCCAAGGGTTGAAGGATGATGAGAAGAGCAGACAACAGAGCATGGTGACATACTCTGTCTTCACAGTTGAGAGCTTGGAAACCGATGATGAAAAGAAAATTGTGAGGATTCTCAAGAGATGTCATGAAAACTTGGGACATCCGTCAAACCAGAGATTTGTTTCCATGTTGAAAGCTGCACGTGCAAGTGAAACATGTTTGAAACTTGCGAAGGGTCTTACATGTAGCACCTGTAGAGAAATGATGGGGAAAAGAGTCATAACGTGTCTAAGACGTTGAAAGACCTGGAGTTTAATGACATGATAAGTGTTGACACGTTTGAGCTTGAGCTGGACTGGAGAAAGGTCAAGTTGTTGAATGTTGTGGACTTAGCCACGAGGTTTCAAGTTGTTGTGCCCTTGTGGAAGGGGATTGAAATCAAAAAGGTGAGGAAAGCCTATCGAAGATCATGGAAGAGATGGGCAGGAGTTCCGAGGATCCTAATCTCCGATGGAGGGCCTGAATTTGGAACTGAATGGACAGACATGCTTGCCAGTGATGGTACAACACAGCGTAACTGCTGCGTATGCACCTTGGCAGAATGGAACATGCGAGAGAGCGGGGGGTGTGTTCAAGAATGCCTTTTTGAAGGCAGCGCAGGAAGTGGAACCCAAGACCAAAGAGGAAGTAGAAGAGTTGTGTGATCAATTGTGTGTTGCACATAACATGATGACACGAAAAGATGGGTACTCCCCTTGTCAGCATGTCTTTGGAGTTGAAGCTAGGTTTCCGGGTAGTCTGCTCTTAGGTGAACATGTGGAAACGGTTGAATCAGCTGAGTTGCATCATGAGAGAAGACATGTCCGATCCCAGAGGATTAGACAAGAAGCAAGGAGAGCGTTCCTTGATGCTGACGCTGAAGATCGGATCAAGAGGGCTTCACAACATAGGAGTAGACCAAACAGGGGACCATTTCAAGTGGGTGATCAAGTAGTGATCTGGCGAAAAGCCAACAACGAGAGAAAACACCACTGGCATGGTCCTGGTCGGGTGATTGGTGCGCAGGTTGACAAGGTATGGGTTGCGTACGGGTCAAAAGTCTATCGTTGTGCACCCGAACAAGTGAGACATGTCGAGGAAGAGATCAAGGATCTTGCAGAGTGGCTGCCACTGAACTTGAAAAATCTGAGGTCCACTCTGAGACAAAAAGGGGCTGGAAACATTGTTGAGCTTGATCATGGTGAGAAACCACCGGAGCATGAGCGTCAGCATGTGTTGCATGATGAACATGAGAATGTTGATGAGAGGAATCATGAACATAATGATGGTGATGTCAACATGGGAGAAGGTGATGGCATGGACGATGATGACCATGATCGACATGATAGACATGATGACCACTCACTGGGAAGGAACATGAATCAAGACCAAATGAACCCTGGAAGTTCTGACTCTCAGGGGGAGACAACCTTCCAGAGCAGTGAGTCTGATCAAGACATGGAACGGGAAAATAACATGCCACGTCATGACACACATGTGATGCCTCTACATGACATGTCACAAAACCTTGTTGGAGATGGTCATGTGCAGAATGACAATCGGGGTAACAATGGAGGGTACGGTCCGATCCGTAACTCTTCTCTCACAAATGCCCTGAGAAACAGTGTGAACATGCTTGACTTTGGTAGGACTAGAGGTAGTGCGCAACCACAGCCACATGTCGAAACGTCCGAAGAAGATGCGTTATGTGCAGAGACATGTCATGGAAACCGCAGCCATTTTGAAGAAGTGTATGTCGCCGCTGTCAAGAAACAAGGGAGAAAAGAGGTGAACCCCAAAAGTCTTAGCCCCGAAAAACGTGAAGAGCTGGAGTGCGCTAGGAGAAAAGAATGGAACAAAATGGTTGACTCTGGGGCTGTTGTGGTTCATACTGGGGCTGATGCCAACAGAATTTTGGACGTGATTGGACGGGACAGGACTTTAGAATCTAGGTTTGTTTATACCTCTGAAGATGGGAGTCCTCATACCAAGTTGAAAGCGAGATGGTGCATCAGGGGATATTTGGATCCTGATGTGTGTAGAGTTGAAACTGCGAGTCCCACTCTCTCGTCAGAAGGGTTGGCCATCACTCTCCAAGTCTTGTCTTCATATGGGTGGCGGCTGCGGATTGCGGATGTGGAAGCGGCATTTCTCAGGGGTGAAGACCTGAAAAGACCCACTGGAAGAATTTTGGTGAAACCCCCCAAAGACGGTATTCCGGGTGTGAATGATGGGGAGTTGGTTGAGTTGATTAAACCGGTTTATGGATTGGTTGATGCTCCTCGTTTGTGGTGGGAATCTCTTTCGAAAACTCTTGTTGGTTTGGGAATGAAAGCGTCTGAGTTGGATGGTTGTATGTTTTACAAACGGGATGATGTTAGTAATCTTATTGGGATTATTGCTTTTCATGTTGATGACTTAATTTTTGGAGGAAACCAACAATTTATGGCTGAAGTTTTCAACCCTTGAAAGCGAAATATCCCCTCAAGCATGTGAAGGAAGGGTCTGGTGAATTTCTGGGCAAGCACTTGGTTCAGAAGGGGGACATGAGCATTGTGATACAACAGAAAGAGTACGCATGTCAGCTTGACTGTGTGCATGTCTCCAAAGAACGTAGAAAGGACAAAGAAATGGACACGACGGACCAAGAAAAAGGTCAAATGCGTGCAGTCTTAGGTGAGTTGAACTGGTTGGTGACGGGATCTAGACCTGATCTGGCAGCAAGCTGTTCCTTGTTACAACCGAGAGTTGTGAAGTCAAAAGTCAAAGACTTGTTGGAGCTGAATCGCGTTGTTTCCATGGCTCGAGATCACGCTGCTGTAGAAATTCATGTCAAACCTATAAATCCTAGGGAACTAGAGATTTGTGCATGGTCGGACGCGTCGTTTGCGAATGCGGAAGACTGGAAGAGCCAAGGAGGATACATGATTTGTGCTACCACACGAGATCTGAGGGAAGATAGATGGGCTCAGATTTCACCATGGAGGTGGAGAAGCTTCAAACAAGAGAGACAGGTAGCTTCTACCCTGGGAGCAGAACTTCTTACGTTGTCCGGAACCATAGCTGAAGCGAAATGGATGAGATCTTTATGGTGTGAAGCAAACTTTGCTGGCTATGATCTTCAAGAAGATCAAGTATGGACGAGCAGAATACCAGTGACTTTGGCAATTGATTCCAAACCAGCTTTTGATCACATACGTGGCCAAACTATGACCATCAAAGACAAGAGATTAGCCATTGAAATGTTGTTGGTGAAGAGAGATGTCAAAAAAGAAGGAGTTGAAGTCAGGTGGCTTCCTACGGAGCACATGTTGGTGGACGGCCTAACAAAAATGGGAGCGCCAATGGAACTCCTACGCAAGGCCCTGAATGAAGGAAGAATGATACTGGTGGAAAATCCAGTAATCATGCAATGGATTGGAAAGAAAAAGAAGTGATCTTCTGTGTGTTTTCTCGTGTCTCTTGTTTTTGGTGTTGTTGTTCTTCTGGTTTTGTTGCTTTCATGAAAGAGTGATCCATCTCAAAGAAGTTTGGAGATGAAACCGGGGTGTGTGAAATGTACGCATCTCATCTCCAAACATATGTCGATGTGAACCTATCGGCACGAGCCCCCTTTGCCATGCTTAGAAGAAAACAGAGTTATGCGAGCGATGTGCCATCAGACTGACTAGCTCTTCGCTGGTTTGTCAGGTATATATTACAGTAGATATGTTTTTACATATGTATACAAAAATATGCAGATATGTAAATATGTAGTATATACGTATAAATGTACATATGTATAGATGTACAAATGTATAATGCAGATAGTGTATGTTGATATGTATGAATGTATATATATATGTGTGCCATAATAATATCATATGATATACAGTATGTGTTCATGTATTTATGTAGACATGTAAGTATGTAAACATGTATATACATATGTATATATGTATATATGTATATATGATGTGTATATTATTTATATAAGTAGATATGTACATATATATATGTAGATATGCATCTACTTGTAGATATGTAAAGAAGTACATGTATATATATATACACACATACACTTATATGTTTAGGTATGTATATATGTACATGTGTATATCTGTAAATACATGTGGTACATATATATATATACATATTGTATATATGTGTTTGTATATGTATACATATACGCACACGTATACGTATATGATATATGTATGGTTACATAAGCTTATCCGTATGTACATATGTATCTATGTATTTAGATATGTTCATATGTAGGGTATGTAAATATGTGTTTATGTGTACTGTATATAGATATGCATTTGTGTACATATGTATATATGTCACAATGTGTCGATATATATATATATATGTCAAGCAGTCGTAGGAAAGATCGCCTATAATTTTGGCCCAGCACACCGTGGTTAATAACGTGAGGAAAATATGTGGAGCAAAAAGATGTGTATGACTTGTTAGTTATGAAGTGATTGCACCAAACAAGTCCAAACAAAACTTCTGGATGTGTAGTTGCGGGTTGTTCTTCAAGATTCAAGGCTGTGGTGGCTGTCGACAGCACAGGGACAAGTCTGGACATGACAGCTGCCAAGCCTTCTGCAAGTGCTTGAACACCTAGGGCAACAAATGAGACAAAACCACTGGGGGATCTCTGTTCCTTCAAACCAATTCACATCCATCTCATCCGCACTTCGGGCAACATGTAAAACTTGTTGGTATGATTCTGGGGGATCAACACTTGAACTTGCAGTTGTCACTCTACAAAATCCGCATCATGAGAACTGGTGATCACATCAAAAATTGGATGGGTGAACATCCGAAAGTGGTTCTCGTACTGTACGCCAGTGTCCGAGACGAGTGGCCAGACGGTCCAATTTCATTCCCCGACAATAGCAGCTCCTTCACCGCTGCAAAGCCATCGACAAACATGTTGGATATGTGTTGTATTTTTATGAAAATCGTTCAATTTCGGGTTTGAATCCACTTACTGAATTGAAGATCCTTAAGGAGTTTTTCCCGTATCTTCATCTTTGACCATCCTAATGCTCTGGTTGCAAACCCACCTGGACTTTATATTTGAATTCACCTCGGATCGTAAGGAGTGGTATTTCCACATTTCATATTTAATTCAACATATATATATATAAATATATATATATGCAATCGCCTTGAATTCAAGGTGATCGCCACAACAGGTGCTTCAACAGATAGCAACAAATGGGATCCTGCGGATGAAAAACATCAAACACATCATTGAAGTCAGGATGGAATGATCTTTATCTTTATCCATGATTCCATGATGTTGATAAGATATACAAGAAAACACAAAGACAAGAACTGTGGTTCACCACAGCTTGGATGTCCCACAACATGGCTATGGGTCAAAAGCCTAGTATCCTGCTGCTGGATGTTCATCCCCACACATATTGGTTCCATAGGTTGTGATCCCCAATAAAATGTAACAAATCCCATGAAATCTAACAAAATCCCATGAAATCTAACCAAATGCAATGAAATCTATAGAAATCTGATAAAATCCCTAAGTCATCGCCTAAGTCCCTCATAAAATCTCATGAAATCTCTCTCCTCCAGCTGTGAGGCTTCACGCAACTTTCGTCCCAGGGCTAAGGTGGCCGCCTCACCCAGCCTCGGGAGGATCGTGGCAATGGGAAAATCATATGACAAGAGTCTGGAACAAACAGAGCTTGTCCATAAGGCATGAACAAATCCATCATCAACAACAACAACATCCACGACGACATCGACAACATCGACGCGACGATAACGATGACGACGACTACAACTACAACGACTACAACGACGACAACAACGACAACGACGACAACGATGACAACGACGACAACTACCACAACCACAGCCACAACCACAACCACAACCAAGCAAACAAACAAACACAAGTTACACAAGTGAAAGCTGTGAAATCCACAGAGATCTTCCCGGACAATGGAACATGGTCTTCACGATGGCTATGCAATCTTCGATACTAGGGATCTTTCATACTGGTGGTATGAACCGAAGAGAATTATATGCACAAATTAATTTCAAGCAAACCAGAAGGGAATTAACATGTAAGCCTGTAAGCCCCAAATTGGATGGCCCCACTAAACACGTAAAAATGTGCTGTTGAGTTGTTTGCAGGATATCCCCTGCTCGGGCCAGCCACTGCATGATCAGGCCTTTTTCCATCACAGCAACAAAAAATCATGATGCAAGAAAGGTCTATATATTGTATATCCATGTAATGTATACTGTATCCCACTACGTATTAACGTATTATCAAGACAACGAAAGTTGCGGCATCTACGTCTCAACGGAGATGTTGGACAGTGTAGACCTGCTACATCGTATGCGCTCGGACACGCCAGAAACAGGTTGATAGGTGATAGGTCTAATAGGTTCCCACGTTGGATCAGTTTATTATCCACATGACCATCCACCAGGCACGCCATGTTGGGCATTGATGGAGGTCACCAAGAAACTGCGCTTGGCGTAGATCTAAAATTCGAAGCTTAGGACCCAAGCCATTCCTGATGCCACATGGATGAGTCTGAGCGGATTAAACACCCTGCTATGGCCATGTTTCATTGGGAAATGAGTCGAGCAGGATTTGGAGGTGCCCCATTTTCAGACAAACCGCACTGACACATTCTTGATGAATCCTTGGACATCGTCTTGTTTTGCGACCGACAAACTTGGGATTCCAATCCCATCCCCCTAATGTAATATATATATATATATCAGTACTAAACCAGGGTTTCGTTTGAGGAATATCTCACGTACAAGGGACTACTTCATGAAACAAACAGGACTTTGCCACACTTTTGGTCCCAGACTCGCCAATTGCTCACCTCCATAATCGCCAAGAGGGTTGCAGCCAAGTCTGGCAACCACCATGTGTCCTTGGTCCAGCGCTCCCAAACTGAGGTATGCCGCCACAAAAGCTATGTTTAGACTTGTTTTAACAGGCAAAATTATCATTCGTGAATAGATTTATTTATAGGTACTTTATTTTGGGGCAAACCCATATTGATGAAGTATTCGGATGATCCCAGTCAGGAAGGGCGATAACGGTTATCGCAGTGGCCTGGATTAATATGGATATGGAACAGCCAGCTTTGATGGATCCTTTCCTCGGGAAATCAGGGCTTTCCCGCATCTATGTGAATAAAACCAGAGTGCAACAACTCCTGAGAAAAGCTGAACTTCATTCGGATCATTTGCCCCGCTGCCTATGCCATGACTTGGCGACTGAAATTCAGGACAAACCACATCTTGATTATAAATATATAATTATGTAAATATATATATAACTATATATACAGTACACAAGTAATTTTCCCCAATATTTCTATTAGATAATTATACGTGTATATATATATATATTATCATATATCCATATATATCCCAATGTTGGTTGGTAACAATTTGCCAATTTTTGGAACAACCCGAAGCCAAAGCCAGGCTCCAATCAGCTGGGCCAAGAATTTGCAGCCCTCTGCACCAATGGAATTGGTGCGCAAGTCCCACGTTTCCTGGGAAAGGGTAAAGAATCTGCTGATCACCGGTCGGGTTTGTCCGGAGTGGTTTAAGCAGCTAAAATAGTCCCGAAATAATTGTTGAAGCAGCCAAATTGGGGATCGAACCATCAAAAATAAGGATTTAATAATTAAATATGATTTGTTCAAGTAATAAATATAATAAATATGGGTTTAGCCACAGATTGAGATTTAAGCAAGCATTCAATATGCAATGGAATTTAATCAATACGAATATGAATCAATATGATATCTGGGTTGGTCATGGTTTGTCCAAGAATGGGGTCTGCCCCAAAATGCCGCTTTTATTCCGGAGAACGACGGACAAGAATGGGATTCTGCATTAACTACCATGTTTTCAGATATATCCATTTTGCCCTCCTCTTCTCCTTGAAGAAATGTCAGACTTGTATATTATATATACTTGTCATACTCTTCTACAAAAACGCTCCAAAAGCCGCCTTGCCAACACAAAGAAAACTGTTCCTGGGCGGTGCCAAGGCACAAGACGGCGCTTTCCCAACTTGCTGATCTCTGGGTCCAATGATTTGGCCTCACAACCCCCAGGCCCCAGGGCTACGAAACACAATTTAAAATAACTCATGGAGCATGCGCATATTCTACATTTTGTGTATACCCTATTTTTGTATATTTTTGTCATGTTTATCTAATTTTTGATTATATAGTCCACATGTTACTGTTATGACCCCGTGCAGAACAAAGAAAGTGGATTTTAGCAAAAAATTAAAAAAACAAAAAAAAAACAGAAACAAAAACAGAATCACCAAAAAAACAAATCGACAGGAAGAAACAGAAAAAAAACAAGAAAAAAACAAAAAAAACAAAAAAAAACAAAAAAAAACAAAAAAAAAACAAAAAAACATCAAAACTGCGGAAAATGCAGGTTTTGATTTTTTTTGATTTTTTTTTTGTTTTTTTTTGTTTTTTTCTTGTTTTTTTCTTGTTTTTTCCTTGGTTTTGGTTTTCTAGTTTGTTTTTTTTGTTTGCTCTGGTTTTGTTTTTTTATTTTTATTTTTTTGTCAAACCCTACATTCTCTGTGTTGTTGGACTCATAATGTTACTGTGCCCTGATTGTCAGGACAAGGACTCAAGTACAAAAATGTCAGTGGCTTGGTCTACAGGAAGATTCAGCAAACATCTATGGATTTATCTGCCATATCCTGCCATGTTTCCGGGGTTTCCCCTTCCAACTGCCCCAAACAAACTCCGAGCGGCCAAAATTCTGCAAGACTCGTCTCCAAGTTGATTGTGTCTAAAGCCCCAGCTGTGCACACTTCCAGCTCCTGAGAACATGCCCAGCCACCATGCAATGGATTCTACTGGTTGATGAAATTGCAGAACAGGGTCCCATCTATAAGCATCATTAAGACTCCCCACGACAAAAATCGAAAATACTCGTAGAATCTCGTAGAACAAATGAAAGCGTGCCACATGAATCATTTCTTTCCGGAGAGTTTTGATATCCCGGTCACCGGTCTATATACCCCGAAGTAAAGAAGACAGGGCTACAAATATCAGCCTTTTTTGCCAAGGTTCCAAGACACAGGAGAGATTCGAAGCCTTGCCTCAGAGAGATTCTCATGCGACATGGTTTGGTCCAACAAAGGGAGCGGAAATCAAACATTGCAGTGGACACACCAGCATGCAAAACTGATTTTTCCCATAAAAGCTTCCTTTTATAATCCTTTTATAGGGTATGTCCTAGCTTGCCATGTTTGATGACCAAAGGCTACTGCAATGATTGGTTGCACCTACTCCAATAGATGGGCAAATGGGTCTGGAAACACATATTCCATAGGCATCTACAGGCGATGTTACAGCGCCCGGGCTTTTGGAACACCCAAACTGATTCTTGTTTCACCCTGTCTGAAAAGTAACCGTCACCGGATTCTTAACATATCGGATGAGTCCATACTTAGTATACCCCAATGCTAGCCATCATTTAGGAGTTGTAAAAAATCCTTACTTTTGAAGTTCTAATCCCATCCCCTGAATATCAAATACACCAGCATATGGCCCCCGAAATTGACTGGTGATGACTGGTGGTTCATGTCCCTGTTGTGTACCCATCAAACACCAGGGATAGCTTGGCCCCAGTGGCTGCGAAATGAAGTTCAACTCTAGCGTTAGGACTTCCAATGCGGCTCCGCTCCTGTGGCACGGGGGAGGTCGATAGGCCATCGAAACAATAGTTGACCCAACCATTAGTAGTCTAACATCCCTAAAAAACAATGCTAGTTCCAGCAAGAACCAATAAAACAATGGTGTTTGACATATGCATATGCGTTTACATGTGGATGTGTGTCTTTATAAATCAACTGTGTATACGCATGGAACAATTGTAGACTCACATTTTAAGTCTGGGGGAGGTTAAGAACTACTTAAACCACACAAATAATGGGAGAGTTAATCACGATATTATAACCACTAACAAAGCTTTTTGGTGGTTCACTATACTAGTGGTATGCAGTCTTTATATAACTAGACCCAAAGTGATGTTGAGCCTCCCCCAAAAACGAAAAATACATCAGCTGGATATGGTTCAAAATCATTGATCCTATTTATGTGTCCTTTTAAACTCCATTTTTGAGCCACAGAAGTGCATAGTGCGGGCCACAGTTAAACAAAATAGAAGGGATCGAAGGAGAAATTATTAAATTCTATTACTATTTGATGTCAGTTGATTTTCGACAAATTCCCAGTGGATCACGAGATGGAAGCTCAGCAAATCCTTCAACCTATGAGGCACCTTGCAAGGGCGTTGGCCAAATTTTGGGCACTCAGATCAGTGAGCCCGTTGTGGGAGAGGTCCAAGAGTCGCAAATTACGAATCTGCAAGCTGGACGCCAAATACGAGGCACCTAACGGCCGCGGAACGGTGAACCCGGGTGAACCACCCTGGGGAGGTCCTCCATTTCCAGCACTTGTACATCAACTCAGCGGATTGCACCCCAAACTGTGGTCCCACATATTCAACGCGTGTGTTTCGAGTGGCAGGATGGGGAGAACGAGCCTCTTGCATTACCGATGTCATTACTGATACATAACTCTTCTAGCGTTTGGGCATTCCATCATACTTTTGACTTGCAAATGGATAATCCAGTCTCTCAGGCAAAGCTCGAGTGTGTAGTTCAAACCTGAAGATAACTTGTTGCAGGGTCCAACCTTGCAACCTACTTCTTGAACTTGGCAACCAGTGAGGCTGCCCTGAAAACAAACCAGTCTTGCCTGGATCCAGTCTCTCCCAGTCTGCACCCGTCATGGTCAGCTCGCGCATGCTGGATCCGTTCAGCCACTTTGAGAAGGCAACCACATCTAAACCTGTAGCAGACCAGCAGACCCACCAAATGGCCGGTGAAACATCCAATTTTTCATGTTGTTCACGAAGGGCCACTTGGGCTGGTGAGCATGTCCAGCGAACAGTGGCTATGGATGGGTTCGATCGGGGCTGCTGTGAGAGGATGCCCACAAAGACTGTTGATGTCTTGCTATGATATTTGGGTTTGTCTGAAAATGAGGTACCCTCAAACTTTGATGCTTTATCATCATCATATAAATATATATATATAATCCCAATGACACTGGCCATATCATATCATATTATATTATATTATATTATATCATATTATATTATATTATATCATATTATATTATATTATATATATATATGAGATATCCCCATGAACCTCATCAACGGGACTTTGAGAAAACCCTGCGGTTTGACCCCATTTTTTTGCGCCTGAGAGTCCCCTGCACATGGCGGAACCGAGGCTGGGGTCTACCAACAATATCTGCGCCGTTGCCGGAAGGATTCCTGGTGCCAGTTGGAGGATAGAAATTGGAACCATTGGAACCATTGGAACCATTGGAACCATTGGAACCATTGGAACCATTGGAACCCCGGGGACAAAAGGAAAAAGGGGAAGAACTCCCGATTCCTGGGATTTGGGGATCCGTCAAAGCATGTCAAAGCCTGTCATACATCGAATCATGATACGTACTATCTGTTTGTTGTGGTGAACATCAATACCAGCTATTTTGATGTTGATGCTGTTGACCCATGCCAATCAGGGCTTGCCCGAAAATAGGTCACCCTGAAATCCAGTGCTTTATTTATCAGCATGCTCCCTCTCGAAATGTCCATTTTGAGGGCTGAACAACAATGAACAAACCCAGGTATCATCTTGGTTATCCGACTATTATATCCCAATATATCTCTATGTATATAATATATATATATGGTCACACACCCCCTAGGATCTACCTCTCAAATGTCAATGCCATAACACTTACTGTAACACATCTGCATCTCTTACTGTACCGCTTCACATCACTGCCAAACATATTCACAAACCAAAAAATGGTCACAAACCAAAATAACAAAAAGACAAAACTGCTTCCACATCTTCTGCTTCCACATCTTTTGCTCACAATGGTTTATGGCACTTACACCCAACAAGTCAAATAAGCAATGGCATAAGACCAAATGAACCTTTAAACATCTAAATTAATATTTAATTAAATACTTAAATATAGTCTAATATATTATATTCAGTTGTTGTTGCTATCAATCAAAAACTGATGCAGATATCTTAAAAGAAAAAGTTGAAGAGATGAAAAACCAAATAAATAATATATATGACATATGAATTACTAGACGTATTAACGAATGTAAGTAAAGATACAATTTATCAAGATAAAAGTAATGATGTTCCAAAGGAAGATTACACAACACCAAAAGCAACCAATACTATTGACAAAACCACAGTCTAGCTAGAAACTGGAAAAGGATATGAATAAGCCACCAAGTGAGTATGAAGCAATCAACAAACTTATAGGAAAATGATATAAAAACTTTTAGTAATAAATCATTTCAAAATGGTGATAAAAATGTTAAGATAGTCCCACATCAAAAAAATACTAAATATATATATATATATATTAATATATATATATATATATTTTTTAAACTATATAAGTTATGGATATTATCACAAGAGACAGTCAAGATATTATGATAAACCAACTTAACTTTGGATTACCAGAGACAGCGCAGTACATAACAGACCGCAGACAAGTAAATTATTTCGTACAATACATTGAAATCATTATGATAATGAATATCTTGTTTCTTGACCAGAGATCAGCGAAAAGGGGGCATAGGAAAAGGTATGGTGAAACCACTGTGTTTCAATGTAAATATCCGTAATCCAAGAAAAACACTCTTTTGGTAGGTTCTAGGGGGGGTGAGCATATATATATATATATATATGTATATTATATATTATATATATATATATATGTATATGTGTAATTATATATGTGTAATGTATACCCAGAAAATGAGATGAAAATGGTAGGTAAAGTGACCACCACAACTTGCTCGAACCGAGCTTCGATGAAACGCGGAGCGTACTGAGCCGACCTTCACATTGGGCGCCCGAAGTTTGGTCCCGGCCCAACAATGGCGATGAGACGCTGCCTCAACGGAGGCCGGGGGCGACAGGTGCCAATAACGCTTAGGGACTAAGAGAGTAGCTTTACACAAGCTGATGATTGGTGTTGATGGAGATATACATATAGTAATATATGTATATATATATATATATGTATTTATATATATATATATGTATTTATATATATTATGAGTTTGCAATTAAACCCTCAGATTTCCATAAATGTGAAAGAATATGCTAGAGTCGGCCGAACTTTATGGCTTCATCAGGTTAAGTGCTCGGATCAAAACATGAGAAAGCCCCACACCCCCATGCGCTCTTCTAATATGTTGGGCTTGCTCGGACTCATCGAAGTCTAGAGGTTGAATGAACATGTTCGATTTTGCCACACTCGCACACACATCACCTATCACTTAATCTGGGGTCTGCAAACTCATTACAAAAACAAAAACAGAAGCAGCAAAAGGCGCAACGGAAACTGCTGCCAAGGTGCACAAGCCGCTGACATGTTTGTGACATGTCGGGCATCCAGAAATGACAAGATCTGTGCGACGCTGTGACAGCCCGTGAGTTGATGGCTCAAAAAACTGGAGGCCGAATGAAGGTTTTCTTCCAAGCGCAAGAAACCAGATCCCATGCGATAGTGTGACACTTCTGGTCGTTCATCAAAACGAAGTTTCACCTGCTCCAGGGAGACTGGCTTTTTGCAGCTTGTTGTAACATTGTACATATGTTTCGGTGTGTGTATGTCTCTACTGTATGTCTCTACAGTATATTGTACGATACATAAATATACATATACGATCATATACGCACCCTTTGCATCAACTTAATTGATATCAAGCAAAACACTTCTTGTATCTTCTTCTTCGTGCCTGCTGGAATGCTGTCTCTAACTTCATGGCCAGCTTTGCCACTTTGCGTGTTCGGCATAGACGCAGCTGCGCAATGATCTCTGATAAGGGAACCTGGTCTTCCTCCGGCCACGGACATCGGCACAAAGGGCAGCCCAACCGACTTCGGGTTTCGTGCGTCATGATCTCCAGAGCAACTTCCTTGGATTTGCACTGAACAGGGCCATCACAAACATAAATACTCCGATGTCCTATTTCTGGTGGCTTATGATAAGTAAGGTACACCCAAGTTAATAAAGAACTCATTGGGATATGGTTTTAATATGTTTTAATACTCCCCTTATCTCCCCTTAAAAAGGGTAACACTTGGGAGCTGGGGTGTGATTTATTGGTCTACCGCATTGACCATCCCCATTTCCCTTGGTTAATACCAGATTCATGTAGATCTCCGTTTCTGATATTTTTTTCATATTTTTCTAGCGGACTATGATTGAGCTCCATGGGAAAACGATGCAAATCATGGCAAGGCGTCCAGTACTCCAATGGCTTTCCAGCCATTTCCCAAGTCGCGCACCTGTTCTTTCAGCAAGGGCCCTGGAGTGTCATCCGACAAAGGCAAAGCCAAGACACCTGAAATCTGCACCACAGGGGACCATAAAAATAACAGATATTCCCAGTAGATTCCCGATTTCTGGTGGATTTACCAATGAAAAAGTAAGACAGTACCAGCAAATCGAATTTCAGCCGCTTGGGGATTCCCTAAATCCCTACCATCTCAGCATTGCGCTAAGACACTGCCCAAGAAATGTACCATGCATCCATAATGCAGTCGGTGCCCTTGACCTGGATGTTTTGGCGCAGGCCAGGGGGCCAGCAAAAAACAAGAAAAAAATGGATAGTCCCATGGGAAAACAGTGATAACATGGATTGAAACTTCACCATGTGTGATTTTGGGCATTGCCATTGGATTCCTCACATGATGAAAAAAAACTGGGAAAATCATGTTTGGAATGGGCTCAACAAATCCAGGTGGCCACAAGGATAGCTGAAACTGCAATCATCCAATGATTCCAAGCAGATGGCACAGATTTCGCGATGGGGAGCAGGTGAAGTGTCAGGCCTTTTCTCTTCACAATGTGTGATACCTCGCCGTGGGCAGTGCACATGTTTCAATATGTGTTCAATGATTTTTTCAGGGTTCTTTGACAATCCGAATCGTCCAAATTGTGGTAAATCCGGTAGGTGAATCTCTTCAATATCTGAAACACTCTGCACACATTGGCCCATTATCTTGATGCACCTCGATCTACTTGAACTTGTTCAGCTCGGGATGTCCGGTCAGGTCTGCTTCCAAAACCACGGCTGGAGCGTACTGTCTGCTTGGCAGAATTGGCACGAGTCAATCGTGCAGACCGGGTGGACATGCACAGACCCACTCGGGCACGGAAAAATAATAACCCGAGGCCAGCACGGCATGGAAGCCCCCAACTTGGGCTGAAATGGCGGTCACCAATGGCACAGAGAAGGAAAAACACACAAAACATCAACCAGTTGGCGGCATGTAGGAATTTATTTCAAAGGAGAGATCTTGGTTAGTTCGAAAATCAGGTACCACTGGTACCACACAAAATTTCGTGGTTCACCATGTTTTCAAGCTATAAAAGGCGACAAATCATCCTTTTCGATCAAATCATGGCAAATCCATATATTATTTAAATATATTTTCTCAAATCAAAAGTCTGTGGACGTGAACTTGGTGTTGGCATTAGATAGAATGGCCAAACCCGGGCCAAACCCTTGGGATGTGAAGAGATCTTCAAGTTTGATCCATACCAACTTTGGCCAACCAGCACCTGGCACCTTTAAAAAGTATCAAAGAAGTTTAATCTTGAAGCACAATGCAATTCACCAGGAAGTAACCTTTTCTTTCTCTCTTGCCAGCACAAATCAGCATAATGAATGAGTCAGTGAGCATCTTTGGCTTACTCCTCACGTAGGAAACCTTCAGGGAAGAGGCTAGCGGCGAGTTAACGTGGAAATTTCAAGCGTAGATGACATACAGAAAGGTTGGAAGTGGAATATTCCACATGTAAACTAAGTAGCTGAAAATGATACAAAGGATAAAAGTGCTACTATGACGAATTTGACACGCATGCAATATCGCAGACACGCATGCAATATCGCAGAATGCACATGAAACATACCAACCAGGGATCAAAAATGATACAGGTGCAAACTACATCTACCCTGTGGCCAATTGCCAGATGCAAGTGGGTTTTACAATCCAGCGTGAGTATTTGCCACATCCCCACTTCTGAACCCTTCAAGTTTCCATGATAAATTATTTAATTCCTATACATAATATTATATATACATAATATATTACTATATTCACATATATACAGAGATGTTGTACAATGCTGTACATTCAGTCGGGGTGCAAACAACATGCATGTGTATATCTTGCGTGCACATACTACAGTTCTAAGTATATCAATATCTGCAAGTGTATATGTGTATATACACTATATGACCACTGGTATAGCTGCATGTTCATCCCTCCAAAAAAAAAATATTTCATTGGTTTTGATCCATACCCATATATATATACAAGAACACGACGGATATACATTAGATATAATATATATGTTTTTACAGTAGTTATACGGTAACTACATTTAAATATACAATTTTTTAAACATATGAACAGGTATTTTTAGACTACCTCCGTGAAGGTTTTCCTTGGCCCGCCCAGCCATTTAAACATACGGAACCCAATTCATTTAAACATACTGCAACTACATTTAAATATACGAACTGGATCGAACTGGTATTTCATACTACCTCCGGGGCCTTGCGGTCTGGCCCGCCCTCCACATATTTAAATGCCGTTACCGTATCCATCAAACCAATATGAGCTGTGTTTTAAATGTCTTGCATGGCGGCACCAAACAAGGAAAAGCTTACGCTGCTGCTTACGTTTTGCCTACGCGCGCACAAGTTTTACTTACGCACGTTATAGCACCTTACGCAGACCTTACGCTGACAAATTTTAGCACGTCACCACAGTTTCGGCTTACGCGCAGCAACTTTTACATGCAAGAATCGAAGTAGTGATTGGCAAAATCAAGCAGTGGACGATGAAGACGTGGAAGAAGAGGAAGAAAATGATGAAAAAGTACCACCATCAGAAGCTCGCAGATCACGAAGCTCACGACGTTTTTTGACAGCACCCTTGCTGAGAGCACGGGCCCTGTCCAAGTCTACTACACTGACTGATGGTGATGTGATTCTGGAGAGTCTGAAGGCTTCAGCCACAGAAGTGCGCAGGTCACCAAGAGAAGCGACAAGCCGACCACACTTACCACTAATACCGGACAGGCCAGGCAAGACAGATTGACATCTGGAGAAGACCTTGTTCAACAAGAGGTGGGCTTCATCTAGAGAAGGACAGTGCTGCTCGAGAATGTCGGACACGGTCTTTGTCAAAATTCGTTGGCGCTCATGACCAAGATCGGAGAAGGGTTTGGATTTGGGCGGCATGGGCAACTACTGGCAAACACCTTTGGCTTACGCGCAGCTTACGCGACGCTTACGCGGTCCTTACGCGGATGTCAGGAAACAACTACGCAAAACACCAACTGAAGATAACCAATGTTCCTTCAAGAAAAGGCATTCCAATGCACAGGTTGCCTGTCACTCTCTGTATCTGCCCCTTTCTGATATGCTGAATTCTTAAGTACATGTGGGTCCCTGCAAACCTTGAACAGCGATTCTTTTCATATGTTTGTAAATGGTCCATATCGATAGAAATGGGGAAAACCATCCATACTCTATAAAGTGATGTAAAGTGTTGATGAAGTGTCCATGCATGTTATTGAAACAATCCCATGCAGGTGTGTTGAATTGAAAGACAGGAGGGCTACCGTGGCCCCAGGAAAATCAAAAACCCGTCCGGTATCGTCCGGTCATGTCAGGTTAGGATGCATCATACATACCACTATTTAAAACCTCATCTTAAAACCGTTGAAAATGAGCTTACGCCATCCTTACGACAGCAATATTGGTAAAAAATGTTTACGCAGGCTTACGCCCACCAGTGTTTTGCTTACGCCACAGGTCCTTACAAGGATCCCAATACTAAACATAAACACGGAGGTTTAAAACGCGGCTCATATTTTTTAGGATATCTACTATCTACCCTCTGGTCGTCAAAAGTGGCAATTTGATTTTGGAAAATCATCGAACTATGGCTGGTGGAGTTTCCACCCAATCATGTTTGATTAACGGATGGTATTTCAGTTATCATCCCCATTATTGTCCCATTAATATTAATCCCCTTTATCCCATGAATATTCCTATATTCCTATCATATTTCCCCTTTTTTTCTACCAGTAGTACCGCACAAGGCGGTGGCGGAAGTTTCGAAAATAGGAAACCTATAGGAAGGGTTGGTTGTTGTGACTCACGGATGGCAGAGCGAAACCACTGATAGAACGAAAGGTGGTTGAGGTCTCCTCTCTTTCTCTCTCTCTCTCTCTCTCTCTCTCTCCCTCTCTCTCTCTCTCTCTCTTTCTCTGAGTATCTACCTATCTATCTATCTATCTGTCTGTCTGCCTGTCTATCTATCTGTCTAGCTGTCTAGCTGTCTATCTGTCTATCTGTCTGTCTATCTGTCTGTCTATCTATCTATCTATCTAATCCTATCTATCTAATCCTATCTATCTAATCCTATCTATCTAATCCTATCTATCTAATCCTATCTATCTATCCTATCTATCTAATCCTATCTATCTAATCCTATCTATCTAATCCTATCTCTATCTAATCCTATCTATCTAATCCTATCTATCTAATCCTATCTATCTAATCCTATCTATCTAATCCTATCTATCTAATCCTATCTATCTAATCCTATCTATCTAATCCTATCTATCTAATCCTATCTATCTAATCCTATCTATCTAATCCTATCTATCTAATCCTATCTATCTAATCCTATCTATCTAATCCTATCTATCTAATCCTATCTATCTAATCCTATCTATCTAATCCTATCTATCTAATCCTATCTATCTAAATCCTATCTATCTAATCCTATCTATCTAATCCTATCTATCTAATCCTATCTATCTAATCCTATCTATCTAATCCTATCTATCTAATCCTATCTATCTAATCCTATCTATCTAATCCTATCTATCTAATCCTATCTATCTAATCCTATCTATCTATCTATCTATCTAATCTGATCTAATCTAATCTAATCTATCTTATCTATCTTATCTATCTTATCCTATCTATCTATCTATCTATCTGTCTGTCTGTCTGTCTGTCTGGCTGTCTGTCTGTCTATCTGTCTATCTGTCTATCTGTCTATCTGCCTGTCTGCCTGTCTGTCTATCTATCTATCTATCTGCAAGCTTGAAAACGAAGCTATTCTGCGAAACTTCCTAAATTTTTGCACTTGACAACTTCAATAACGAAGCAATTCTGCGAGACTTCCTCATTTTTTAAGTTGACAACATCAAAAGCGAAGCCATTCGACGAGACTTCCTTCAAAAATGGAAAGCTGAGTGCAGAAAGGGCGGCCTCGTGCCAATTCGTTTTGCGAATTTTCCATTCCACTTGTCTAAAGTACTGCGCCTGCCACGAAAAAGTGATGCCAGGTCATACCAAAATGCAGCACCCGGACCTCCTAACATCTCTGATAAACATGTCTCTTGTCCTGCGCCTGCCACGGAAAATGCCATCTTTGCAGATCCTCTTCAAATGTCACACGCCTGCCATCGTTTTTGGAAATGCTACAAAACCCTCACGTTTTGCTCACTTTTGACAAGGTCCACAATCCCTTGCGCCTGCCACGGGAAAGCACGTCTGAACGTCCAAAAGTGGTCCGAACCCCTGGTGATTTTAACATGTTGACTTCGAAATGTGCTTCGGGCCACAACGCCGTGCACTTTTTCGACATCGCAACTTCCAAAGGTGGTCCGAAAGCAAGGTGTCTTTAGCCTTTTCACTTGCAAATGTGCTTCGCGCCACAACGGCATGCAATTTTTCGACAGCTCAACTTCCAAAAGTGGTCCGAACATGGTGTGCTTTGTACATTTTGACTTCGAAATGTGCTTCGCGCCACAACGCCGTGCACTTTTTCGACATCTCAACTTCCAAAAGTGGTCCGAACGTGAGGTGGTTTTACCTTTTTCACTTGCAAATGTGCTTTGCGCCACAACGGCATGCAATTTTTCATCTCTCATCTGGCCAGCTGGCTCCGCACCCGCCGCTTTAGCGAGCCTACTTTTCGACCCTCTGGAGCCACAAATCATTGGAAAAACACAGTGTTTCGCGACTTTGCTACCTTTTCGCGCACCTGCATCTTCTTTCTTCTGACTCTTTCTCTTCTCTGATCTTCTCTCTTCTGCTCTTCTCTTCTCTATTCTTCTGCTCCACCTCTGCTTTTCATCTGTCCATATTGTCGGAAGTTTGACTTCTAAACTTCCTTCGATAAATATCAATTACTATAAGTAAATCCCTATGAATCACCCCTATTAAACCCATATTTTTGTTGGTTACACCC